ACCCGAGGCCCGAAGCAGATGCCATGGCATGTCTCCTTCTCCTTTTCCCTCCTTCTCCCGCCTCCCCCCTTCTCTCAAGCAGCTCTGGCTGGAGAGACCGGCCCACAGGGGACTGGGTCAGCTTTGGGGCCCAATCTTCCCCTTCGCCTACTGTACCTGCTCACCTCGCAGCCCTTTTTCCCCTCATCCAGACTTCGCGCTTCCACGCAGTGCTTGAGGGGCACCACGCCACCCGCTCACTCGTCGAGAAGGTGTTGGCGCTGGCTAAAGCGAGGATTCCCCGCATGCCTGCGTCCACTACGTGGTGGCGGCCAACCCGCGTACGACCTGCCAGGTTTGCGGCACGTGAGAGTACATCCGCAAGCTGGTGACGAACGCTCTGAAGTGCGGCGAATGTCAGCGACCTGCGCGCTTGAATCGTCCCAAGGACAGGAAAAAAGGGCGGCCACGCTGGTGCGGCCCAGCCCGAGCTGAAGAAGGCCATATCACCTACACCTACTTTTGTGCCTGTGCCCAACACCGCGAAGGCCACCATCGAGGCCATCACGGCGGCCATGGCTTTGATTTCGGACCTTGCTTCCAAGAAGGTATTTGCTGATCAGATCGTCGTTGCCCAGAATGCGGCGGCAGCGCTTGCGGCTGGGCCTGCGGCAGACGATGTCGTTCGGCGTGCTGCGGGGGCGTGGCGCGACGCGACAGCCAAGTCCAGACAGGCCGCAGCGCAGGTGCCCAATTGCGAGAACAACCTTCCGAAAACCAGCGAGCGCGAGAGCGAGGCCGCCAGGAACCTCGTTCTCGCTGAGATCAAGAGGACTGCGGCCTTAGCTAGCCCTTGCCCAGGAAGTCGGTCTGGCTCCTGGAGACAAGGAAGGGCCACAGCTCCAGTGGCGCCGCGGTTTGATGTTACTCGGGGTAACAAATGCGTCAAGATCTTAGATTCACAGGAATGCCGTTCAGCGGAAAGAGAGGAGCTCACACGTGTCAAGAGCGATCTTCGGAAGGTGAAGGAGAGCGTCGTCATCAAGGCCGATGAGGCCGCCAAGTGGCACGCCAACGTCAATGCGCTGCAGGACAATATCCGCATGGCCAAGAAGAGGAGGACCGATGGCATCGAGCAGCCTGTCGACGGCGGCCAGACGAGGACGACGTCAAGCTGTGGGCGGACCAGTTGCAGCAGCCCAAGGCAGCAGCGGTCAGCACCCCAGCGAGTTCGGCATCCTCGTCGGCTACCGCGACTTCCCCTGCTGCGGCATCGGTCGGCGGGCAGCCTAGTTGGGAGGATCTCCAGAAGGAGATGGCGCGCGTCAGACAGGTCCGCGCCGTTGGCGCTACGGCGGCCGAGGGCGCGGTGTCTCTGGGCGGCGGTGGCGGCGCGGCGCCTCAGGGAGCGCGAGGTTCGGCGGCGGCGGCGCGGGGTTTCGCGGCCCCCTCCGCCGAAGCGCCCGCGGAACCGTCGGGGGGGGAAGGGGGGGGGGGCTGCGGAGAACGGCTGTGCGCGCGCCATGTTCTACATTCGTGCCGCGATTTTGGGAAGAAGGCTTGGGGTCGCATCTCTTCGTTTTCCTTCTGCAGCGGTACAAAAGCATAGGCTTGGTTGGCCCCCATGTTGGCTGTCTCGCGCGGGGGAACTGGGCGCGCCGCTGCAAAGCGCGCGAGCCGCGTTATCTAGATAGCCATGGCAGGTCCACCGGCACAGCGGTTTCGGCCTCGACGCGGGAGAAGCCGCGGACGGATGGGGTGCTGTTCGTAGCACAGGGGCACAGGCGTTGCCGTCGTCTGCATGATAAGCCGACGGACGGAGCGACGCGTCTGCGCGCCGAAGGTTCCGACGCACCGAGCATATTGCTGCTTGCAGTCGCACGTGCGGGTGGTCATTCGTTGCGGGCCCAGCGCCGCCAGGTCTGCTGGTTTTTTTTGGGGGCAGAGCGTTCGGGTATGATGGTTGGTCCTTGGGGGCTCAAATATAGACGCGCGTGGCGTAAAGGCGCCTCCCTGCGGCAGAAAGATAGGCGGAGTTATCTGGCGGGCAGTTGTCGAGCATGCCTGCGTTGGGGCTTCGGGCAGCTCGCGCGTCGGTTCTGCATTGGGAGTTGATTGCCATCTGCTCAGTGAGTTGCCCCTTCTCGCAATGCGACGTGGGCGCCGTGCGTCGGGCTGGAGGCGCAACTGAGAAGCAGGCAGGCAGTTGATGACGCGACCCCTGCGGGTCGCTCCTCGGCCGCCACAAGTCCCGCGCCCGTCGGCAGAGCCGGTTGCAGGGTCAAAGTCCAGCATTGCCGGATTTGGGCAGTCTGAGAGATCGTTGAGGAAAGAGAAACGATTCGGTCTGACTGCGATGAGACGTCGGGGCGGGAGGTCGTTCTTCGGGGGGCGGGGGTCTCGACCTTGCCCCCGGCGCTTCCGAGGCGGCGTCTCCTGGGGGGCCCCCGGCTGGGGCTTGGCCCCCCTTTCGGTCTGGAGGAAAAAAACCTTTGAGCAGACGAATCCTCGCTTGCGTCTGCCCCGCGTCCTGCGTCTCCGCGCGCAGGCGCTGCAGGTGCTCAGTGGGCGGGGCCTGGAGGCGCTGCTACTGTTTCCGCTCTTGAGGGGGGCGTCGGCGACGCGGTTAAGCCCCCCCCTTGCCGCTGCCGCTGCTTTTCATGCTGCGCCCCCGGCTTTCCGTGCATCGCCCACTTTTCGGCTCCAGTTCTTTGGCTTTCCCGCTGCGCTCGCGACGCCTAGGGGCCCGCCCAACGATCGCTGGCTTTCGTAGCTGGCGGAGATTGCGCGAAACCGAATCGCAGCTGCTTCGCCCGGTGGGTTTCGGTGGCCGAGGCTGCCGCCCCAGCCCTGCGCGGCGCGCGGCAGCCGGCGCGCTCGGGAGCGTCGGGGTGCACCTCGGAAGCGGTTGGGTCTAAACAGGCAGGCGGCGCGCGATGGCGGGATTCGCGCGGCGGCGCGGCTAGCTGGCGGGGCAGGCTGCGCGCCGTCGCGCAACGCGTGCTCCGACATCGCGGGGGAGGCAACGGGCCAACTCAGCTGGGACTTCTGGCTGCAGCGGCGCAGCGGCTGGCAGATCACCCCGTCGACGAGGCTGGAATGGCGCATCCTGTGGGTGTTGGCATGGCGGGGTCTGTTGCAATATATGTGCACGCATCTATACATATATATATGTATGTATATATATACATACATACAGACATACATACATACATACTCGGCCGGGCTCGTCCCTGGACACTGCGCGGCAGATGGCGCACGATGGTTGCATCTTTTGGGCGTCTGGCCGTGCTAGGAATTAGTTGAGCGCGCAATCTTGGAGGGGGCTTTCGACTTGGGTCAGCGACGCGGGTGCCCGGGGACTTGTTCCTCGCGCCGTCGAGAATTCTGGCCCTGAGAGCGGGGCGGGGTTCAAATCGGAGATGGCGGCGTTTTGGTTCGAACGATGGACATCGTGATCGCGAAGCTGTTCGGAGTCGCTCAGCGTGGCTGTCTGGGGAAGCGACTTGCGACCCTGTCATGCAGTCCGCGAGCCAGGTCAGGGCTCAGGCGGATGCGGGGCAGTTTCCGCCCCTGTCAGTTCCCGACGCGCGGCAGGCGCTCGGGGAGAAGGCGAGGGCGAGTCTCGGCGTCGATCGGCTCTCTCCTGCCGGCACAGAGCGCCTACCAGGTCACGGGGCGCAGAAGATGCGCGATCTCTGTCGCATGGCGGAGCGGGGCCTCAGTCGGCAGAGGCAGGTCATGTGCGTTATGGGGAAAGCTGCTGTGGAAGGAATCGGGGGGCGAGCGGGTTGTCGGCCTGGTCGCCGCGTTGAGCAGAGCATGGGCCGTGGCTCGGGAGACCCAGGCCAAGGCGTGACGGGCCGACCCGTTTGATGCTTCAGTTTCGGGCAGATGTGCCCGGCGCGAAGATTCGGTGAGGGTCCTCGAGGGTGGGCGTCCATTTCGACGTCTGATTCTTTGCGGACGCGGTTTGGCCGACTCTGAAACATGTGCGACGAGATGGGATCACGTCGTCTTCGGGGGCAGAATCTGGATTGATGACTTGTCGCAGCGTGCGGCTAGATCTCATGCGTGTCAGACTTCGACTCTGGGAGTGTTGGCTACGGTGCGTGAGTTTAGGTGGCGTTATCTGGGCACCGCGGACACAGGGGCAACCGCTTGTTCCTTGCGTGGTGATGCGATTGCAGTTTTGAGGGCTTTGCGGCGTAGGAGCGTTACTTTGCACGCGGCCTTACAATCGATTTATTTGCGCGTGGACTTGAGCGGAGGCCACGGGCAGGGTCGCGCATCTGGCTGTCAGCGCGCCACCAAGGCGAGCAAGGCTCATCGTCGGCTCAGTCGACCCGCACAGGCGGCTCGTCGCTGGCATTCCACCATCCAACTTCAACGTTCTGGCCCTCGAGCATTGGGTAATTTGGGACAGCCGTGACAGAGCACCGCCGTCGCCTGGGATCCGCTGCTGGTGCGTCTAAACGAAGTAGGTGTTCAACGCATTTACTCTCGCTGCTTTTCCTGTCATCTATCGCGCGTGGCATCTTCCTGCCTCGCATCTTCGTTCTTCTCTGGAAAGGGCAGCGCAGCCGACGTGTATGTGCGCCCTTTGTAAATGCGGTTGCGTCTTCTCTATGCAGGACGGGGCCCGCGTCCCCGACTGAGTGCGCGTTGCCGCCAAGTGACATCACCAGGCGAAAGCACATGATTCATGATTCCCGATTGGTGAGTTTGTGGGCGTGGATCAGGCGGCCCCCCCTGCTAAGGGAACTGGAGCTTACCTTTCAGCAGCAGTATCGGCGCCAGACTTTTGAATTATTTTGCGGCTCCAAATTTGAGGGCGGCGCAGACGTGATATCTCTTCGGGGGGTGTTCATCTATATGACCACGGCCAAGAGAGAACGACAGTTATCGGAGTTGTTGATATCGGGTCCAAAGAAACCAGTTTCGAGGCAGGTCTTTCTACTAGTAATATTTGTTTTCGCTGCTGCGAAGCCGCAGCCAGTCCTGCGCAGATGCTGGATTTGTTGTGAAAGCGATGGCTTGAGAGCTTATGATGAATCGCAAGAGTTCATTCCACCGGCTATCGCCGAGTCTGAGTCCGCCGCGCGCTTTTGGATGAGGGGGGTGACCCCCGCGCACTGGGCGGAGGTCCCGCTGCCCTGTGGGGAGTCTTGGGATGGGGGCTCGCTCGTGCGAGGCTCAGTGGGCCTCGCTTGCCTCGGATTTGGTTTTCCGATGACCCTGTCATTGTCATCGGGGAAGCGCCGGGCGGTTCCGAAACAGTGGGCCATTGGTTTCGCGTGGTCTGTCTGGTCGTCGCGGAGCGCGCGAACTTTTTTCCTTTAGTCTTGGGGCCCCGCATGTTTGAGCCCATCGTGGGGCCCCAGCGCGCGGTGCCGCGCCGAGAGCTCTGGGTTTTCTCAGGGCCCTGCTGTTTTTGCTCTGGTGCTTTGATGGGTGTCGTCGATTGCGCGGCAGTTGCGAGAGGTTGGTACGTAGAGCTGCATGGGCGACCCGCAGGCGAGATGCCGATATCTGACGTAACATCAGCGTCTGTTTGCAACAGCAGGGTAGGTCTCCGACGGCTGGCATTATCATGGAAGTACCGTCGCATTTGGACGGAGCCGTGGTCCTCCGCCGCCGCCTCCTTGGATGGCTGATCTCTGGCAACTCGTGCGTTGATGTTTCAGCTGCTGAAGTTGCCTTGCGTCCTCGGGTGTCCCAGGACCATCGTTCTCGTGTGCACGCTGTCGAAGCCTCCTCCAGGCTCGTTCGTGGGAAGCTCTTTCGCGTCGCCCTCGATTCGATTCGATTCGAGCTGCGCAGGACCAGGATGTGGAGCACCTGCCGCGGGGGCCCAGGCCCCTGCCCCCTCCGCCGTCTTAGCCGTTGCACGCTTTGCGTCTGCCCACACCTTGACCGTAAATGGCAGGATGCGCGGTGTGTGTCGAGGCTCCGCCATCAAAGATACTGTGGAGGGATGGTTGGAACATCCCTGCTTCCAGCTCGAGTCTGTCACCAGCGTGCTTGGCACTGTACCCAGAGGATTCCATTCACATCTCGCTGGTGGTTGGACGCGCCACCCTTGCAGCTTTCGGCTGTATCACGAGCGCGGCGGCGACTATGCCGCCCCCCCCGGCGCCGCGCGGGCCCGGCGGGCGGCTGAGCGCGCGCGCGGGCCGCGCGCGCGTCCCCCCCCCCCCCCCCCTCTCCCCTCTCCCTACCCCTCCCCTTTTGTCGTTCGTCTGTCGTCTGTCGTTCTTCGTCGTCGTGTCGTCCGTCGCTCCGCACTCTTGCCACATGGCTCCTTACTGCAGGTGAAAAAAAGTGTTGTGCGTCGTGCGGCCGTGCCGGGCAGCGCCAACTCAGGGACCTGGGTGTGCCGGGCACGACTCGGTTCTCTGAGGCGAGGCGCGCGTGCCCTGATGGGACCGGCCGCGATCTGTTTCCCAAGTCCTGAGTCGGGGGTGGACAGGCCTCCAACCCTGACGCGTCGATTAGCGAATTGACCGTTTTCGGGTCGCGAGAGGACGTCGCGGCCGTCATTTTTGCGGGTCCAGGTCCGTCGGTTTTTTCGGTCCCAGGCCGTTTTCACTAAAGGGAGGCTTGTCCACCCCCGACTGAGTGTTTGGAGCCTTTTTGACACTGGCTGTCGGCGGAATCCCTGGAATCCCTCCCTCTCCCCCTCCTCCTCCCCCTCCTCCTCCTTCTCGTCCTCCTCCTCCTCCTCCTCCTCCTCCTCCTCTTCTCTCTCTCTCTCTCTCTCCCCCTCTAGCAATTCCTCGGTCTTTTTGTTCCACCGAGTAAATGTTAATGGCGGCCCGCTCGCAGACCTGGAAGTTTGTTCAGTGATCCCTCTTCTTCTTTCTCCCGCTCCTCCTCCGCCTCCCCCCCCTCCTCCTCCCCCTCCCTCCTCCTCCTCCTCCTCCTCCTCCTCCTCCTCCTCCTCCTCCTCCTCATCCTCATCCTCATCCTCCCTCCTCCTCATCCTTCTACTCCCCAGGCAGCCCTCGAGTTCAAGAAGCGTAGCAGCCTGGAGCACAAGGCGCGGATGGGCACGGTCGTCCGGCGGAACACGAGGCGCCGCAGCATGCTCTGGGCGGCGGCCCAAACGGAGCCACTGCCCGACGTGGAGCCCCTCGTGGAAGACGACTGGCAGGGCGACCCGGAGGGCCTCGAGAGCGGCATGGTCGTGGTGGCATGGTGGGGGCGTTGGATGAGGAACCACCAGATAAGCGGATAAGGAAGCCAGGGTCTTGAAGCCGGTGGGGCTCCACGGCTATCCCCGCCGCCGTCACCAGCCAGGTAAGGGATCTTCCATGGTCTGAAGCCTCCTGGGCGCATTCCTTAACCAACGTTCCCACCGCAAGATTTGTGCTCCCGCCCCGAGGATCCTGGCCCTCGGAGGTCCCCGATTCAGATGTCTCCCTCTGCCCAGATCACCTGGTACCGAAAACTTGGGTAACGCTAGAAATGGGTACGCAATAGGCCAGCCAGCACTACCTGGGGTTGTAAGCTCTTTGCCCCGAGGATCGGTACGATCGAGGTGCGTACGGAAAGAAGGGGGGCGAGGACTGACAGCAGTTCCTGTCCATTCTGTACAGGACCTGCTGTCGGTGCCGCCACGGGTGGTGCCGATTTGAGACAGAAGGCCACCTGCCAAACAGCTGCCGCTGTCGGTTTTGGACCACGTGTGTTGTTGGGCATGTGCCCACTTTTGTCCGTACCCTCAAAGATCAAAGGGATGGAGGGAGGAGGGAGGAGGAGGAGGAGGGAGGAGGGAGGAGGGAGGAGGGAGGAGGGAGGAGGAGGAGGGAGGAGGGAGGAGGGAGGAGGGAGGAGGGAGGAGGAAGGAGGAAGGAGGAGGAGGAGGAGGAGGAGGAGGAGGCTGGGATCCTCTGGGGCGATCGAAGATCTCTTGGCGCAGAGGGATGGCATCGGCGGCCCTCTTCGAGCCATCCGTGGGCGGGCCCGCGAGGGGCGAGGGGAGGAGGAGAAGGACGACGACGACGACGACGGCGGCGACGACGACCACCATGACGACGAGGAAAAGGAGGAAAGGGACAGGAAGACACGAGGGCCAGGACGAGGACGAGGAGGAAGAGGAGCACAACCAGGGCGAGGACCCCACTTGGCAAGGGCCAGAGAGACGCCCGAGAGGAGAGCCCCCCCCCCCCCTCTGTGTGTGGCTCTCGAGGGTCGAGGGCGCACCGCCCTCTGCAGGTCGTGGATCCTGGCCGGGCCCCCGAGACCGCCTCGCTGTGGGCGCAGCTGCACGCCGCGGACACCGACGAGGAGGCGGGCCCCGAGCAGCCCGCCGAGGCCGGCGCCGCCGCGGAGGGCGGCGGCCGCGGGGGCGACGCCGGGCGGAGCGGCGCACAGGCGGAGCCCAGGCGCGGCCTGCGCGGCCGTCGGGGCCCCGCCTCGCCTCGCCCTGCGCCTCGCTCCTCGCTCCGCGCACCGCCCTTTCCTCGCTTTCGCATTCTCTCTCTCTCTCTCTCTCTTTCTCTCTTCCTTCCTCTTTGCGTACAGTGGGACCGAGGTATAAGATCGAGGTCGGTTCGGGGAGGGTACCCTAATGTTCTTCGTGCTTGCTGGATGTTCTTGTGCATTCTGGGGAGGGTACCCTTGGATGTTCTGTGTATTTTCGCCGACGGAGGGTCTCATGTTCTTGAAGGACGTCATTCTGGCCTGGGTTCAGCTGTACGGGCTGGCGAGGAGCCCGAATTGGCCAGGAGGTCAGGAGGTCCCTCCTCTCTCCCCTGCCCCCTCCATTCCTCCTTCCTCTCGCGCCCCGAGGCCGGTCGAAAGGGCGGGCCGGGCGTTTCGCCTGAGACTTCTTCACCATTTGTGGCCCTGAAGCTAAAACAATGGCAACTGTTTCACAAAAGGAGGGCGGGTAGTTTTCAAAATGTGGCTGTCGCCTGAGCCCCGCGCATATGATTGTAATAGGTCCACTGGGTGAGGACGGGCCGTTTTCGATATGTGGCTCTCGCCTTGATGCCGCGCACATCCGTTCCAAACATTGCAACAGCTTCCCGGATTGAGGGCGGGTGGTTTTCAGAATGTGGCTCTCGCATTAGCGCCGCGCGCATTCTTTTTACTCATTCGCAAGAGTTTCACATATTGAGGGCGGGCCGTTTTAGACTGTGGCTCTCGCCTCAGCGCTGCGCACACTCGTTTTACACATTTGCAGGCGTTTCACGGATTGAGGGCGGATCGTTTTCAAAATGTGGTTTTTGGCTTACCGCCATGCACATTTGTTTTCAATTGCGGTGGGGGCGTTGGTTAAGGAACGTGCACGGGAGGCTTCAGACCCTGGGGGATTCCCAATCTCACGAGGGCGGCGGTGATATCCATGGCCAGTCCACGATTGGAGCCCCACTGGCTTCCAGACCCATCATTCCTTATCCAATGCTTCCTTATCCAATGCCCTCACCGCATTCCGGTGGAAGGACCCCACACGATAATCTCCTTAGTGCGCATGGTATTTTTCATCATCGAAGATTCACGATGGTGATGATGGCACGATGCCAGGATACCACAATACGACCTCTGGGACCTGTGGGACTTGTGGGAGCTGTGCGATCCGTGGGGCTTGTTGGACCTGTGGGGCCTGTGGGGCCCGTGCGACCTATAGAAGATGCGAGCCCTGTTGGACCTGTGAGCCTTGTGGGACCTGCGGGCCGTGTGGGACCTGTGGGACCTGCGGGGCCCGTCGGACATGTGGGATCCGTGGAACCCCAGGGACCTGTGGAGCCTGTTGGACCCGTGAGACCCGTGGAGCCCGTGGGCCCTGCGACCTTCGGGGCCTCGTGCGACCTGCGGGGCCTGCGGTAACTGCGGGGTCTCTGGGCCCAGCGGGGCCTGTGGGGCCCTTGGTATTTGTGGGCCTTGCGGGGCCTGCGCGACCTGCAGGACTTGTGCGCGAGGCGAAAGCACCATATGACCTGTGCGACCTGCGGGGCCTGCGTTGGGCCTGTGGGTGCCAACACATCTTTCTCTGGACTCCATCGACACGAATCAACCTGACTGTTGCGCCTGGACGATCCACAATCTTGCAAGAACACCATTCCTGGGACTTCAACGCAGCGAATCAACATAGCTGTTGCGCCCACATATGAGTTCTGCCAAAACACAATTTCTTGCACGCTAGCCATGATATCCAATGACGCTTTTGAACATGTGTACAACGAGTGCGCGCGGCGCTAAGGCGAGAGCGACATGTTGAAAACGGTAAGCCCTCAATCTGTGAAACTCTTGCACTTGTCCACGCATCCAAAATTGGGTTATTGTTTTCTCTGCACACCCCCGCGCAGAATATCCTCACTCCCTCTTCCTCCTCCTCCTCCTCCTCATCATCATCATCATCATCAGCATCGCCATAATCATCCACACACTCGAACACTCACACACTCACCATGATACTGATCTGAATCAGCAGTATCATCATCATCATCATCATCATCATCATCATCATCCTCATCACCATTATCATCATCATCATCAACATCATCATCAACATCATCATCATCAGCATCGTCATCGTCCTCATCATCATCATCATCATCATCATCATCATAATCGTCATCATCAACATCATCATCGTCGCCAGAACCATCCACACACTCGAACACTCACACACTCACCATGATAATGATCATAACCATCAGCATCATCATCATCAGCATCATCATCATCAGCATCATCATCACCATCACGATCATGATCATCATCATCATCAGCAGCAGCATCATCAACATCTTATTCCAATCATCAGCATCAGCAGCATCGTCATCATCATCAGCAGCAGCATCATCATCGTCATCATCATCAAGCCTGAAAATGGAGGAAGTATCAGGCGGGAGCCTCGTCTGTGAGTGAATTGTGAGGGAGTATCAGGCGGGGACTCGTCTGTGAGTGAATTCCGAAAAAGTCTTAAGCGGGACCCTCCTCCCCCTGGGGCCCGCAGCCCCTGTTTGTAATCCGAGCGGGTTTGTAAATGTCATCACTTTTGGGCTCCACAGGCCTCAATATGGAGAGAGTATAAGGCGGGAGCCTCGTCTGTGAGTAAGCTGCAAGGACGTCTCCGGCGGGAGCCTCGGAAGCGAATTGCAAGGAAGTCTCAGGCGGGAGCCTCCTCCCTATGAGGCCCGCAGCATATATTTTTGATCCGAGCGGGTCATCCTCAAACGTGTAACTGCCGTCACTTTTTAGGCTCCTCAGGCTTGAATCTGGAGGAAGTATCAGGCGGGAGCCTCGTCTGTGAGTGAATTGCGAGGGAGTATCAGGCGGGGACTCGTCTGTGAGCGAATTCCGAAAAAGTCTTAAGCGGGACCCTCCTCCCCCTGGGGCCCGCAGCCCCTGTTTGTAATCCGAGTGGGTTTGTAAATGTCATCACTTTTGGGCTCCACAGGCCTCAATATGGAGAGAGTATAAGGCGGGAACCTCGTCTATGAGTAAGCTGCAAGAACGTCTCCAGCGGGAGCCTCGGAAGCGAATTGCAAGGAAGTCTCAGGCGGGAGCCTCCTCCCTATGAGGCCCGCAGCATATATTTTTGATCCGAGCGGGTCATCCTCAAACGTGTAACTGCCGTCACTTTTTAGGCCCCTCAGGCTTGAATCTGGAGGAAGTATCAGGCGGGAGCCTCGTCTGTTAGTGAATTGCGAAGGAGTCTGAGGCAGGAGCCTCGTCTGGGAGTGAAGTGCAAGGAAGTCTCATGCGGGAGCCTCCTCCTTGTGGGGCACGCAGCTCATGTGTTTACTCCGAGCGGGTCATCCTCAAACCTGGAACTGTTGTAATTGTTGGGTTCCTCAGGACTGCGTATCGGGCGGGAGCCTCGTCTGTGAGTGAATTGCGGGGGATTACCATGCGGGGACTCGTCTGTGAGTGAATTGCGAAGAAATCTTGAGCGGGACCCTCCTCCCTATGGGGCCGCAGTCCATGTTTGTAAGCCGAGCGGGGCATCTTCAAACCTGTAACTGTCGTCACTTTTAGGCTCCTCTGGCCTGACTATGGAAGAAGTTTTAGGCGGGAGCCTCGTCTATGAGCGAATTGCGAAGAAGTCTCAGGTAGGAGCCTCGTGTGGTAGTGAATTTCGAGGACATCTCAAGCGGGAGCCTCCTCTCTATGGGGCCCGTAACTTACGTTTTCAATCCGAGCGGGTCATCTTCAATCCTGTGACTCTCTTAATGGTTGGGCTCCGCAGGCCTGAATTTGGAGGGAGTATCAGGCGGGAGCCTCGTCTGTGAGTGAATTGCGAGGGAGTCTTAGGCAGGAGCCTCGTCGGCGAGTAAACTGTGAGGAAGTCTCAGGCGGGAGCTCCCTCCCTCAGGTCGCACAGGTCCCAAAGGTTTCACGGGCACTACCGGTCTCACAGGTTCCACAGGTCGCACGCTTCAAAGTCCTCAAATTGTTTATTCCCGGCGAGGCAGTTCCCTCAGTGGCAATGACCCCTTGCATCGGCCTGTGAAGAGGGAGCTTGGGAGGAGGTTTATTCCAACATCGTTGATGCATCATGGGTTTACGCTGGTCCTCCTCACTTCTCCTCATCCTTCTCCTCCTCCTCTCTCCACGCTTCTGTCCTGCTTCTGCCTCCTCCAGTCCCATGCTCCCCGCTCCCCGTTCCCTCCCCCTCCTCCTCCGCCTCCTCCTCCTCCTCCCCCTCCGCCTCCTCGTCCTCGTCCGCCTCCTCCTCGTCCTGGTTCTCGTCCTCCTCCTCCTCCTCCGCCTCTTTCTCCTCCTTTTCCTTCCTCCCGCCGCCTCTACGGCGGAGGCGGCTCCTCCCGCTGGCGGAGCCAGCTGCGCTGGCGGAGCTGGCGGAGCAGGGCGTCCAGACCGAGCCGGAGGCGCGGCTCCCACCGCCCTGCACGGCGGAGGCGGGCCTCTGTTGCTGCTGTTGTTGCTGCTGTTGCTGTTGATTATTTTGCTGCTGCGCCTCGGAGGTCCTGCTTGGAGCTCCTCCTCCTCCTCCGCCTCGGAGCTCCTTCCCCCTCCTCTTCTTCCTCCTCCTCCTCCTGCTCAACCGCTCCTCCTGTTCCTGCTCGTCGTCGTCGTCGTCCTCCCCCTTCTCCTCCTCTTCGTCCAAGCTCAGATCCACTTCAGCTACAGCTATAGTTCCAGCTCTTGTCCCTGCGAGCTCCACTTGATGCTGAGACGGACGCGTTCCAGGGGGTACGCGCGGTAGCTCATCCTTGTCCTATTTCCTCATTATCGCTCCCCCTCCTCCTCTTCCTCTTCCTCCTCCTCCTCCTCCTCCCCCTCTCATCCTAGTCGCCCTCCTCCTATTTCCCCCGCCCATCCTTCTGATTCTCCTCCTTTCCTTCCCCTCCCCCTGATCATGATCCCCTCGCTCTTCCTCCTCCTCCTCCTCCTCCTCCTCCTCCTCCTCCTCCTTCGTATCATTCATATCCTCCTCCCTCTCCTCCTACGCATTCTCGTGTTCCTTCTCCTCCATCCTCTTGCGCCTCCTCCTCGTGTGTTATAGATTCCTCATCTTCCCCCTCGCTTCCTTCTCTCTACCCCCCCCCTTCCTCCGACTCACCTCCTGCACGGCCCAGGCGGGCCTCCAGACGGAGTCCTGCACGGGCACGGCGGAGGCGGGCCTTCAGACGGAGCCTTGGATCCCTGGCCTGGCCGCGGGCTGGACGCCAGGGCAATTGAAGCCGCAGGGATGATCGGTGAGGTTCGGCATCCTCCTTCCCTGCCTTTCCTCGTCCTTCTAATTCTCCTCCTCATCTGTTCCTTCTTCTTCCTCCTCTTCCTCCTCCTCCTCCTCCTCACCCTTCTTCCCCAACTCGTCCACCTTCTCCTCCCATTCGTTCATCTGGTTCGAGAGCAAATTCGAAGCCGATCTGCATCGCGGGCACGGCCGAGAAAGGATCGCTTCTAGCGCCTATCCTGTGAGATTGTAGAAGGCGGAAGGTACCAACCCAGCTCAAGGATAATTTATTTGTGGCACTAAAGACACTCGGAAGTTCAGACAACACTTGCAAAGCACATCGTTTGCGTATCTGTGCGCCGTGTTGATGCCGATCCGCTCCAGCATACCGACAGTCCCGATCCAAACGATCAGACGTGCACCGTCGAAGTAGATGAAGCACAGAAAAACACTGGAGTACTCGGCCCCACGAGTCCAAAAGCGATCCTGGTTTTCAGGGGACATGTGTGAAGCGCCATGTGGTCGGCATGGGCAGCAGCTCAAGCTGGACCGCCGACGAGCTGACTTCTTTGGGGCGTGGGTGCGTGCTCTCCGTTGCAAACTCGAAATCCTCCTCCTCCTCCTTCCCTCCTCCTCCCCCCTCCTCCTCCTCCTCCTCCTCCTCCTCCTCCTCCTCCTCCTCCTCCGTTGTAAACTCGAAATCCTGGAAAACTTCCAGCATGGCCGCATCATACTTTCCGCGAGCGTCGGGAGGACAATCACGCTGTGGATTTGGCCGTCGTTGGGCGATCCTTGGGGCCTCTTGGGAACGTCGTGGACGCTCTTGAGACCGAACAGGTACGAACCGATGTTCAAAAGAAGCCATGTCTTGGGATGAGTTTTAGCTTCTTGAGCTGGCTTGATACATACTCACTCACCTTGGGCCCCCCTTGGGCCATCTTTGATCGATCTCGAGGGCGTCTGGGGCTGCCGTCTTGGGCGTTCTGAGGCTCTAAGGAGCGATAACCCGAAATCCGCTGAAACACTTCACGAAGCATATTTCCATTTACCTTGTGAGACCCTCTTAGGGGTTCTTGGAGCCCGCTTGAGGTGTATTAGGAGAGCCCGTGTGCCGTTCTGGGGCCACCTCGGGCCTTCTCAGGGCCCTCCCGGGCCGGCTCGGGACTCCCCGGGACCCTCTTGGAACCCTGTTGCGCCCGCTGGGAGCTTCTGTGCCCTCCAGGAAAGCCTTGCGAGCCGCCCCGAGAGCCCTCAGCGCACCCGAGACGAGCGCCCGGCATTCGGGCTCTGGGCCTTCAAAGAGCATCACCAATACTTCTCACTACCGACCAAAGCACCACGACCCAACCCGAAGGTCTCAGACCACCCTCAAAAATGGTGTTGGGGCGTGTGCGGGTTGCACGGTATTGTCTCGATGTTCTGGAACGCTCGCCCGCTAGAACTTAGCAGGCCCAGTGGCGACTTCGGATTGGGTTGGTGTGGCTTGATGGGTAGTTGCCCCAACGAAGAAAACTCGAGGGGACTTGATGGCACTTCTCTCAGTGCCTCTGGCACGGAGGACGACTGCCACTGAAGTGGACTCTGCCGCATCTCTGGCTTTAATTACCTGTGAGCGGCTGGCGGCTCTACCTGAAGACGCATCTATTGTAATACCCATTTGCTGCCTTCGCAGTCGGTGTGCTGACTTATTCCTAGAACGGCGTGGCTAGCCCGCGTGTGTCCTCCGCCATCGTATTGCCTTCCGGCTTGCTCTCGATCGTCTCGGAGTTTGTGGTTCTGAGCGTGATTGCTTGAGACTCTCACTGAACTTATTGGCCTACGATTGACCTCTTAGCCGCTCAGTCTACAGAGCCCGCGCAAGAGACTATTTTTTTGCCGAAGGCATCATGCGGTGATAAGCGCGGCGACGCAAACAACCACAGCAACAACAACAACACAACCTGAACAATGACACGAGGCAGCGAAACCGCCTGACTGGGCTCTGGCCCACCCGCCGTGCCCGTGCGTCGGGGCTCGCATTTCAGGAGTCGCACGTACACGTACATGAATCCACGTTGGTTTCGGGAGTACGTAATGCGCTAGAGTCACGCGGCCAGTCCCGCGGATTGGGGGACCGTGTTCACGTACGTGCTTGGGCGCGTACGTCCTCTGTGGGCTCCCCAGCAGTGGCGCCCCGCTCTGCTCCTCCCCCGCTGCCCCCGCACATGCCGCATCCACCCATACTCCTCTCCTCTTCCCAGAGCGCGTCGGCGACGGCCCTCGCTGCTGGCCAGAACAAGTTCGTACTCCATTCTATGCATCCTGGCTTTACCACTCTGGTCAAATTTCTCCTCCTCCCCCCCTCTTCTTCCTCCCCTTTCTCCTCCTCAAGCTCTTCCTCCTCGTCCTCCTGCGTCTCCTCCATTTTCCTTCTTCGGCAGGCTGTTGGGGCCTCTCTTCCTTTCTTCTTCTCCTCCTCCTTCTTCTCCTACTCCTCTCATCCTCCTCCTCCCTCCCCCTCCTCCTCTCCTCCTCCTCCTCCTCCTCCTCCTCCTCCTCCTCCTCCTTGAAGCCACAAAGGTGCGGGCGGTTGTATCCCCTCTGATGCACTGATGCACTGCTGTGTCACAAGTCCACTCTAGGAGCAGAGAGCGACAACAACTTGTATAATCGGGAGGCTAAGGCGACGCTTACGGAGAAGAAGGAAGGCCGAGGCAGAGGGAGGAAAGAGGGAAAGAGGAGAGTAAGCGCCGCCGAAGCCCCAAACCCAAGCCCTGCCTAGGCTGGTCCCAGGACAGGGTGGGATGTGGAGACTGGGAGAGGAAGCCGTTGGTGCTGCTCTTATCCGAAACTGTAATCCTGCTGTTATCCGATGCTGCTGACTGTCCTCTGACAGATCCCCCTGCAGCTGCCTACCCCACGTCAGAGTCGGACGAAGAGGGGAACCCCTTGGCCCTCCTCCCCTTCCTCCTCTGAACGTGGCCGTGGGCCCAACGGACTTCCTTCCACGCATAGGCGGCCCTCTCCCTGAAGTGGCGCTCCCGCCCCTTCAGGGTGCGATTCGCCGCCTTCAAGAGGACCACCCGAATGCGCAGCCACGACACAACCGTACTCTGGTTGTGCCGCGGGCGCTTCGCCCTGGCGCGGCCCTTCCCGCGGCCCTTCCCTTTGGCCGCCAGCAGCCTGGCAGGCGGCGGCGCATTGGGCAGTGGCGGCCTCCGAGAGGAGGCCTTTGCCGTCCCCTTGCCCTGCCACGGCGCCGTGACAGGGGGGCGGACCTTGGGGGGCGCCTCCAGCCCCTGAGGTTCCAGGGCCTGGATGGGCAGCTCCTGCCCGTGGGGCAAAGCAGGAGGAAAAGGTACGGGAGGGCCCGAGAGATTGGGGTCAGGGAGCGGAGGCGGTGCCGATCCTTTGACCGACAGCGGCAGCTCACGCTTGGCTGAGGGTTTTGGAACGGCAGGCCTCACGAGTCCTGGAGCAACTGGCCCAGGAAGAACCCCAGCGGGAACAGGCTGGAGGACGGCGGCAGCACGGGCGGCACGGGCCTCCCTGATGGCCCCCAGTGCCTCCTGCGGCGGGTCGACCGTGCTCCCGCAGTGCTTGCACGCCAGCATGTCCTCGTCCTCCCCCTTGAACCTCGAGAGGAAGATCCATCCACGGCAGCCCTCGGTCGCGCACACCTGGTACGGCCCCTGCTTGCTCTTCACCATGGCGGCGGCAGGGCCGGCAGAAAAGGCGCGCACATGAGCTGGCGGGAGGCTGGGCCCGAGGCTGAGGATGGATGGAAAAAGGCATGGGTGGCAGAGAGGCAGACTAGGGAAAAACCCCCAGGCCGAAGGAGCATCCTATGCCACGGCAGCCCTGTGCCGTGACCCCAGCACTCTGGTGCAGGGGCCCTTCCACCTGGAGGCCTCCCCTAGGGTGCGAGAAAGATGGAATGCGATCTCCCCCACAGCTCCTCTGAACTGCTGCACCCCCCCTCCTTCCCATTGCTATACTATCCAGGTATATTGAAGGGCAAGATCCTACTGATCTTGGCGCTTGAACCTGGGAGCATGCCTTTCCTAAGCTTCCTGAGCTCACTGCTTGTCTTCCTGGTGCAACCCCTGGGGTCAGTGAGCTTCTTCGAACCACGACGCGTACTGAGACCTCCACAGTGGTTGCTGAATATAACAGGGAGCCCTGAGTCAAGCCAGCCTACATACAGTGAGTGATGAAGTCTCTTATGCTGCTTGGTCACCTCCCCCATAGCTGGTGACATGGCCTGCCAGTCAAACTTCGACTTGGGAGAGACAATCCTTAAGCAACTAAGGCGCCGATATCTCTGCCCATCCCAAACTGGCTGATGTAGCTCGGCAAACGGTCTTGGCGGTGAAGGTCTAGGCTCCTTGGGCAGCTTTTGCAGCTCGCCCCAAGCTCCTCGGACTTCGGCCAAGACCCCAGGACCTTACCGGCCCCGGCCAAGACAGACAGGCAGAGGTCATAGGCTGCAACATGTTCTTCAACTACGGCGGGTGCTGGGCGATGGCTACGCGCCCCTTGCCCTGCATAGTGATCTGCTGCCATGTTGCCTAAGATGTACCTCCTATCTAACCCGTTGACTGCCTCCGACTCCTTCCTGTGGCCCTTAGTCTTGACTAGGTGCAGCCATTCGCCCACGGGGAGCGCACGGCTGATGTGCCCCCATACCCTGGAGAATGGAGATCTACCGTCAATGCAGGATTTGATTGATTTGCGGATGAGGGCCGCACACTATACAACGAAAGTGTTCGTGGAGGCTGCTTTGGAGTGCAGTGCTGCCATAAGTAGCCCCCCGCGCTCCCCGTCGACTGCGGTCTGCTCCCCGAAAGACGGCAGGCCCCCGAAGATTGCCCGCTTGAGTGAGTTGTCCTCGTTCAATTCTACTGCGGACGAACCTGCACGGGCAAGGTGGCGGATTTCGGGGTCAAAGCACGAACCATCCGTGAAGATTTCGCTGTTGGGTTCGAACTCGAAGGGGTCGCAGGGCC